AAAAAAAAAAAAAAAAGAGCCATTGATTTTGTTAGGATGATAGAGAACTGTACACATTTTTAGAAGTAGGTTTTTCCTATAATCACTGGCTTATCTCACAAGACATGAAAGCAAAAAACAAACCTGGTCTTTGTGTGATCATATTATAGCAGCCAGAGCATCAAATACTACCTTCTGATAAAATGCAACCATGCAACCCATAGATATTCTTTCATTTCTGACCTGCATTTGACACATTTTTTAAACCAGACAGCGCCACTAAGTTGTCTTGTTTGACTTCCTGCATAAGACATACTAACTCCATCTTTCATTCTCTAACTCCAGTAACAGGATGGTTCTATGGTAAAGCATGTTCTTAAAGACACACTCAGATATAATTTGAAGGCATCAAGAGAGCAATTGTACGCTGCTGAAAAATTATTCAGTAAAATTAAATATTTATTCTTTGCAATACCTATGAAATTCTGGCCTGGGCTCAAACCTCATTATGACAGGTTCCACATGCATGTAGTACAAAAAGAGTGAATGGATGGCCAAACAATGCAATTACTCAAAGTGCTAATCCCTCTCTTTTGGCTAGACTCCTATCCAAATTGACTCTAAATTCTCTTTCAGGCTGTTTTGCTGGGCTTACTTATTTCTGTTGATTTAGCCCACAAATTCAAGTTTTAGTAATTCATTATTTTGTTGCCAAATTGCACAGTGTTATAAGATGTTTTCTTCAGACTTACAGATTACATTTTGGGTAAAGCAAACTGTAATATGGAAATTTTCTGTAGCTGTACTTACCCACCTGGATCTATGGAACCTAATATTTGAAAGAATTCAGTAGAAGAGATAGAGATGATTGTGTTTCTGGTAAGTAAAAGCTAATGAATTGAGTGTATAGTTCAACTGGACAGTACCAATCATAACTCTTAAAACACTTGCAAGTTCCTTAGGATAGAATGTGCTTGTGTTTGGATGGGGTATAAGTTTTAAAAAGAGGAGATCAAACAAAGCAGTAATGTGTATTACCTTTGTTTACTTTTCAACACCTATACATTGTACACTACAAGCATTTTTGCCTCTTCTTCATAAGTCACTGTATTTTGAATATATAGTCAATCACAACCCCCTCATCTGCTGTTCATATATCTCAAGTCAGAGTTCACTGCTTCATTGTATGTGAGTTATTTCATGAACATTTTTTGCAAAGGGAGATAAGACTACAGTGAAAAGAGCAGTTTTCAGGAATAACAGTTTGTACAAATTCCTTAATAAATTTAAGAAATAATGTGAAGATTTTCTTAGACTAAATATTATATATAGTGAGTGGCAATTGCAATGGAAAACTTAAAAAAAAGCAGTTTTGATCTTTTATCTGGAACTCAGACGTCTTCCAACTTTGCCTTTCAGCATGTCATACTAAGTATTGGCCCCAAATGATTGAACAAACCTGTACCAAGACAACTTTCTAGTTTTGAAAAACATAGATTTTGAAACCTCTGAATGTTTGCTTTAAAAATGAAACCAAATTTCTGTGTGGTGTATTGTGAAAGAAAATTTTTGCCAAATGCCTCCTATGTTTCTCATTCAGTTACTTAATTTGTGGGTTTTGATCTGTGCCACAGGCTGCCCTCAACCTTCTCCTTTGCTTTGAATATTTAAAAGGAGAATGGATTTAGTTGTGCTGTAATGCCTGCTGAATGAGAAGTATTTACTGATGGAAAACTGAAGTAGCAAATCTTTAAATCCTATTGGAGCAAGAATATAGCCAACAACATTTGCATACAAAAATACCTTTTTAAAATACATGTATCATTTTTAGTACAGTCTAGCCCTTAAATGTCTTACTTATGCTAACAGTTAGTCTTAGATGGATACATTTTGGATGTCAAATTGGAAAAATTCCATAAGCCTCCTCAACTGAAACATGTAAGTAAAGCAATTCTCTGTTGAATGTTTTCTACATGTTTATTCATGTTATGATGTGTTTTTATTTTGAAGGTGATTAAGTCAGACCCTGTTTTGCTTTAGATATACCTGGAAGGAGCTGTTCTTTGTGCACATGCCTGTATCCCTTGCACCATCTAAGCTACTCAGCTGAATCAGAACACTTAGACAGTGGAGAGAAATATTTTTGACAAAACAAAATTCTTTCTATATTATGTCTTTTTGCCAAAACAAAATGTTTTTCATATTATTTTGTTCACGGGTTTTGGGGTGGAGTTCTTTTTTTTTGTTGTTCTGTTTGCTACTAATTTTTCCAGCTCTGTAAAACAAAATTAAGGTTGCACTCAGCTCTTACCCCACAGTAACGTTTTGTGCCCTTTTTGCTTATTGTAACCTGAAATGTCCATTCATGTTAATTAATATTTTACCTCTATATTTCTATCATGATCTTTCCAGTTTCTGCACCTGGTTTCATCTTTCATCATCACCCTTTTTTGGAAAGATGACGTAAGACATAAGAAGACATAGACACAAGTTTAGGTTTTGAACAGTAGTTACTGTTCTTTTAATTCCTAGGTACAAACAGTGTGATCTGCACATGCATAAGAATTTCTTGCCTGGACACAGTTTTCTTTTTAATCTGGATAGTCAATAGACTTTCAAACTGTCAAGAGGCTTTGGTACTCCAGTTGACTACTAATCCATCTTTATTGTCAGTTGTGGAGAAGACTGATGACCTCAGCTCTGAGAATGTCAGGTCTTCTAAACTGATCTTGCACCTTCATTCTCCTTCTATTTTCCAGGTAGATAAGAGGACACTTCCCTTCAACCACAGGAGCACATGCAGAAGAAACATGGACAGAGCTCTGAAGAAAAGTGCAGAGGAGCCACAGTCACTGAAAGTAAGTTTTCTTTCTCCTTCTGTACTCATCCATATGCATTAACACTGTGGGTGATCCCATGCACTTCAGATACTTGCTAATTATCTAAAGGTAAAACTCGTGTTATAGCTTCTTCTGAAAGACAGGGTGGGGGGACAGGAGTCAAAACACCCATTATTGTGGAGATCCATAAAGTGTATTCCTACACAATAACAATGCCAGAGAAGAGATGAGAAAGGGAGGATAAGGTTCTGTTCTGAATAAAGAGAGAAAATAACTCACAAAAGAATTTGATGAACTCTAGCAGTGGGGGAACTTCTCAGGTCTTCAAACTAGTTCTAATTCATACTAGGAGCAGCAGCAAGGATGAGCATGAAGTGATATGAGATGAAACTGTTCCTTGAGTAAGAATGTTTTACATAATCCCTCAAGGCTCATTGTGTAATACTGCCAGGTACAATCTATAATTACTTCTTTTTTTTTTTTTGTTTTGTTTTGTTTTTTTTTTTTTTTTTTTTTTTTTTTTTTTTTTTTGGGTTTTTTTTGTTTCCTTCACTTCTATAAATTTCCAGTCTTGAAACGAAGAACTTTAGCTATTGCTTTCCTTGGTTAAAATTTAGTTTTTGTTTCTAATCTTTGTGGTGAAAAGCCTGACTCTGGACAAAAATTCAAAGAAAACCATCTGTCTAGAGAGAAACTAATCCAGTAAAACTGTTTGTGCAGGGAACAGCCTTCCTCCTGTGATAAGCAAAAATATGACTTCAGCAGGGTATAAGGACAAGTTTGAAAGTGCAATGAGCAAATATTCGGGTTTAGTGGCAGAAAGACGATGTATAGCAGCAGATGCATCTCAGATCATCATTGTGCTAATATTTAAAATTAAAGTAGCATGTTATTGAAAATTTCACCCTAAATCTTCATGATTTTTTGAAAAAAACCTTTTAAATCTCATGGTTTTGGAAAACAGAAGAAAACTTTGGAATTAGGCAATGTTAATGAATTACCAGAAAGATTATGTAATCAATCTTATGAAAAATGACCTGGTAACAAGCTCTGGTCTTGTTTTTCAATTGTTGTGTAATTTTTTTTCCCACAGGTCCAGTAGTATCTCATTACCACTATTTCTAAAATCATCTACCATCAGGAATGGAAAATAGGTGAATAATTTTTCTTCAGTCCTATGGTCCTTCAGGACAGAACTTAGTACATAGCTGGGAGTGCATTACTACTCTGATTAGGATTTGCTACTATATTCTTATTAGGATGAAAGATTATGCTAGACTGAAGCCACAGGTGATCTGATTCCAATGACCACAAAATTAAAGGTCAGCTTGAAGAGCAGGAATCAAATTTCTTTCCTTATAGTTTACTTCAGAAATCTATGAAAGTGTTGTGCATGTTTGTTAACATCTGTTGCACAGGATTTTTTAATCTGCTTGATAATGTAGATCAAATGTCCCACATTTTTCTCTTGCTTGACACAAACAAATTAAGTTAAATTCAGCAAATCATACTGAAAATCCTGAATTTAGTAGGCTTATCTGTGGTCTGATTGAAACTAAAATAATTGAGTAGTGGGTGAAAATTAAAAAAAAAACTAATAAAAAACAATCACCTAATAAAAAACAATCACTAAATTCACCTTTTTCTCATAGGAAATAAATGTTTGGCATTTTTTAAATTTAGGCAGAATAGGATGCTTGTAAACTGAATTTCTCGATCATGTACAGATAATAAATATTGGGCAACTGAGAAATTCTGGGGGAAAATATTTGATTTTCAATAACTATATCCAAGATCCATTCAGCCACAACAACATTTCTATTTGTGACACTGAATATGGCTTTGAGCTCTGTACAGATGAGCTTGTCGTAAGATTTTCAGATTTCAAGCCTTTTGATGGTAGCCAGTTGTCCACAGAGTCTGTGATACCTGTTTGATGCAGCTGCCTGTTGAACTGCTTAGCATCATCATTTCCTATTCCTCTAAACATAATCCTAAAAGCAGCTTAATAACAAATGTGTTAGCAAAGCATTGTGGATATCTGTGTCCTGATATTCCAGCCTGGGATTACTCGGTACTTATTCCTCTCTCCTGTCTCAACACTTAATTTGCTAAAATCTAGAAACAGAACCACTCTACTGTTTTCCTGTCATATATTTTTAATGTAAGCTACAAAATCTCCAAATTCTAATACTACTTGTGCCATTAGCACAAAAGCAAACACAGTTGGAGAATATGGCTCAGACAGTAGGGAACATCAGGGCACTGGATAAAGGAAGCATAAAAAAATCAACCCCAACCAATGTGTCTTGCCGGATGAGAATCCTTTCACCAAATCCTACCATAATCAGCAGGTGCCAGTGACTTTGTGGGTTGAAATAAAGACTGAAACCTTCTCCACATTCCTAGGAATTGTTCTCTGGTCTGTTTTCTCCAGAGCTCAGCTTTGAATCTGTAGGGAATGCCATAGGCATAGGAATATCCCAGTCTGTAATCATGCTGCTCACCATTTCTCCTGTTGTCTTTTCCATCTGCTTTTAAAAAGTTCTGCAGAGCTCATCTTGCTCTTGAGAAAAAAAACAATTCCCACCTTCCTTCTCCTTTCCAGAAGCTTCCATTTTAGAGTACAGCAGACAGAGTGAGGTAAACAGAGCCTTCTTCTTGCTTACTGTCAACACAACCTCTTTAAGATAACAAAAAATATAACTCTTGATTCATTCAATAAGCTGGAAACAATCTATCATTTGTAGACACAGAATTAGAGGAGCAAAGAGTTCCAAAGTTAGACAATTTTTAGCAACAACTTGGATTTAAGGAGACCTTATTTCACTATATAGAAATTGAGCTTTGTCCACTATTATTTAACTAGGTCCAGAAAATACTAGTTTGTGCCTTTCAGCATATAAGACACCTATTCTCATTTCTAAATATATTTTTCTTTGGTTTCACAATGGATAGAGCTTATTATTAAATAAAAGCCATTCAGTTTAGGTTTCTTGCAACACCTTTGGTCCTCAACAAGGTGTTATTTGTTCTATAAGTTTATTTTACACAGGTTGCGGCCAACGTTGTTTTCTGTTGTGGTCAATTCCTTTAACACACAACTATCTGTATGCATCTGGACAATTTCTAATTATTTTAAATCACCTGAGGATTATGAAGCCCAAGGATTTCCTATTCCTGCCATTGGACAAATAACATACTAGGGAAATTGTTCTTCCAGTGTTTGTGATACTCTCTGCTAGTCTGTAAATTATTTGATTCAGATTTTGTTATTTTGGATGTGTTTCTACACATTCTATCTGGCTCCTGCCTTCATTAGGATATTTAAATACCAAAAATTAATATAATGGAAGTGTCTTATTTTTCAAATGCTCAAATTGATAGAAGGACTCGGATTTATTTTGTTTGCAAATCTGGATTTTAGGATGAAGAAAGTAATGTCAGTTGTTTTCAAACACGGGAAGCAGGAAAGTGTGGACATATGTTGTTACTAATTTTAACTTTAGTAACTAATTTTAAGAAAATTTGTGTTTCCTATAGTTAGACAGAATCTTGTGTACCTCTATAAAGAATTTAATAAATTGAACTGATCCCATTTATTTCTATTGTGACTATATTGATATGACAACTAGAACATTCTACACAAAAGCTTTTATACCAGCAGTTTTGTAGTCCCACAATGCCAGTAATTTTTGGAACTTAATGCAAAACTAATTTCTCTGAATTAACTTCTTCTCAGTAAATATTTCAGCAAATGTCTCAGTTTAACTACAAAACTGATCGGTGGTAAAAGTTAGAACTTTTAAATATATGTTTCTGTTTGAAGTGTCAAACAAATTAGAAAAATCTGTTTCAATGTCATTGTCTTACTAATAGTTTTTGTGCTGAAACTATTAAATTAAATAGAAGTTATTGCTGTGCTAGGGGTATTTTAATCTATTTATTAGGAAATTAGTGAATATAATCTAAAAACCTCTACAACTCCTTTCAGCCAAGTGTTGCCTTCTACGCTGTCAAAATGGGCAGCTGAAATGAAAAAAGCAAGACAAAACTGAACTAGAGTGTGAGTGAATGCTTTAGAAGAAAAATGGTTTCCATGAAAATCCCTGGTCATCAGATGCACCTGCGCATTGAGGATAGGCAAGAAAACAGTTCACCTTGTCAACATTGGGTTCAACTACTCTGTCCCACTCAGCTGTACCTCAGTTTACTTGCTGAGTGAGGAAGGAGGGATCTTCAGAGCTCAGAATCCTCATTGGAGAAATGGCTGCTGCCTCTCAGCACTTGGCTGGCCACATGAATGGGTCTGGAGCAGCGTACAACCTTCAGGCACTGTTTTGTGTGGGCTTGGCTGAGAGTACATCAGTTCTTTTCTTCAGAATATTTTGACTCCTTCAGTGCTACTGATTACCCAACTGAGAGCAAAAAATAAATAAATATAAATTAAAAAAAAAATTCTCTTACCGCTGTGTCAAATATTTCTTCATTTATTCTCCTTTATAAGTTTTTTTGTTTGGTTTTTGTTTGGTTTTGGGGTTGGGTTTTTTTGTTGTTGTTGTTTTTGGGGTGTTTTTGTGGAAAAAAACAGCCATCTCAAATATATCCAATATATATTACTGCTGAAATCTGTACACTTGCAGCACTGAAACCTGCAATTCCTTGTTATATAAATGTACTAAACATTACTTTCCAACACCAGTTCCTCGTATCCTTAGCAACACAGGCTGCAAAGAGCTCACCAGCCTGGTGTTCTGCTGCATGTATGAGCTTCCAAGTCAACTGGAAGAGTTTTGGTTTAGGATTCAGAATCTTCCTTTGACCAGTTCAAGCTATAGGTGAGGGACACTCTCTTGCATATGGTCTCATGAAAGCTATAATTTCAATGTTTATCAATGGAGTATACAAGCAATGAACCAAGAGGAGCTTCTGAGAAAATAAAATTTTCATGGCAGAAGCCTGAACAATTTATTCTGTCCTCGCACCATGACCATAGAGCAAAATATTTTAATACTGAAACTAAATTTTTTAATATAGCTCCCCTTAATAACTTATAAGCATGCACAAATGTATGCAAGATCAATATTATATCTTTCCCAAAGCTTCTAGAAACTAATAATTTTCCTTGTATTATAAGGCAGAAATGTGAGAAATCTTATTACAGACACACTTGTCTGTGTCACTGTAGTAAGATGCTGCTATAAGACTAACAGTTGACATTATTGTGCCTGGTTTTAGCCAGTGAAGATTTTAATTGGTTCTGGAATGAAAATCTCCTTTTAAATCATTCCTCCCCTGGTGCCTTCATGTTAGCCTGAGGTTTTGTCCATTTTCATGCTAGTTCTGTACACACACAAAGTAACAATAACTTTGTTTAGAGTTAAGATTGAGTTTTGTTTCAGCAGCTGTCGCTGGACTCCACTGCATTCCATGATGTCAAAAAATTGATGAGAAAATCACTGATGAAGGCAACATCACATGCACTTACTTTCAAATATCATATTAGGCAAAACATTCATGGTCTTCTTAATTTTTTTTACGCTGTGTTGAGAACCAAGAGAGGAAGCCCAAGAGCCCATCAGTTTTTAGGTCAGGTGGCTTTGAGCTGCACACACCAGGATCCTGCCTCTGCCTCCAAAATAGACTGGTGAGAGAAATGATACAAACATGAGGTCATTCTGTACTTCTACAGAAATCACTTCTTCCAAAGTATACAAGGAATAATCTCTCTATTAAAGTGAGGCCTGCTACATGAAGATGGGCAAAGGTTCAGCTGGAGGGAAAGAAAAATATGTTCTTATACCAGGAGATGTTCCTGCCTGATCAGTAGGGAGCAGCTTGGTGGCTCATTTGCTGGAAAGCCTTGGGACCTGGAAGAACAGGTAAGCATCTGTCAAACAGGTCACACATTTCCCTCGGCAACATGAGTAGGGATTGTTTTTGTTTTCCTTCAGGGGTTTCCATTAAAGGAAAAAGACTTAAAGGTCTGTGAATGAGGACTTCAAGTGGAGAAGTTACACTGCCCAACTGTGCTGGTGATGCCAGGTTAGACATCCCCCTAGCCAAGGTCTGGGAGCCTGTTGTGTCTGTACTCTCTGCACCCTGATTTTTCAGCAGCAAAACATGGCTGGGTCTAACACAGCTTTTTTAGCATTTCTGCTCCAGGGCAGCACAAAATCATCATCCCCAGAAAACAAAACAAAACAAAAAATTTAAAAAACCCACCACCACCACCACCAAAAAAAAAAACAACCAAAAAACCAAAACCAAAACAAAACAAAACAAAACAAAACAAAACCCAAAAAAAATCCCAACCAAAAACCCAATGTAATTAGATTTTGCCACCACATTAATTTTGACCCAGAGAACTTGCTGAACATTGTGCTGCCTGCAGGTAATACAGGAGAAGGACTTCTCCAGTCTCTAACAAACTCTTGCCAAGAGGGGTTTACTTCTGTTACTGTAATGCTCTGTAAAATAAAATTTAGTCTGACAAAAAGCAGCTGCAAGAGAACAACAATACCAGTTTCTGATGAAAATTTGAATGACTGGATTGTATGCTGGGTATTATTTTAAGCAAAAACATTTCTTGTGTATAGCTTGTGACTAAATTTGGCTGTCTTACAGCAAAAGTTCAACTGAAATAAAAGCAAATGATTTTACAAATGGACTTTATAGCCTCATCACTTACAGGATATGTAGTACCTTAAACCTAGAAGAGCATATATAATTTTTCATCCTTAATCTGTAAGTAAATCTGAGTTAGTGAGAATAGCTCAAATTGGAAAAAGTAAGATATTTGAGTCTCATTTTTCCCTCTTTTCATCAGATGAATTCAGAATAGGAAAAGTGGTTTGCAGTCATTGCAAAATAGAAAACAAAAGAAAGAATATAGGAAGTCTTTCTGTATGCTGTTTGTTTTCCAGTCTCTTTTACCAGCTTTTGACCTAAAGTAGTTTCCAATGAGGTGTACCAGTGAAAAACAGGGAGAAATTTTGTAATGCAGCAAGATAAATGTTAAATCAGCATTGATAGATATTAAATCATCATATTGATTGTTTTTTGCCAGTGACAGTGCATTGAAGAGATCTGCTCATTTTCATTTAATGTTTTGTTTGAATGAGTGATCGCTTCATAACCACCTAGCTGCCTGAAGTGAAGCAAGTCCTGATTCAATTGCCCTTTGCTTATGCAAAATACCAGTTTTGAATAGTTATTTGACTCAGTAGTAAGTGGTACCCTAATGTATTATTCTGCAAACTAATTTATTAAAGATTTTTCAAACAATTCAGATTGGCTTTGTGTGTTCAGCCTATGTATGAATTAATTTGGTTCGCACCTTATATTTATGGATCGGCTGGTTTCAATAACAAAAAGCAGAAAAGCACCTGACATTATTTTGGGGAGGTTCAGACAAATCCATACCTATGACTAACCACACTGAAAAAACTACCTAAATTTGAGAGCATGCCTAAACCATGCAGAAAACCAATTAGGTTTTACTCCATAAAAGCAAAATCTGAAGAGTAAATGAATACGCACATGGAATTAGAGACACATTTCCATGTGAAATTTCACCTCTGACACATCCTAATTTTTGGGTACTTAATTGTGCTGTTTCCATGTTTTTTTAACTTGGTGTTTTAGCTTTTTTGAATTTAATGTTTATTTGTTCTGGAGATGGATAATGATCAAACATCTGCCTTTGGATGTACTGGTCAACTGCTTGCAGGCTTCACCAAGAGAGGAACACCCCAGTTTTGGGTCCAGAAACATTAGCCCCTAGTCAATCAGTGATTACTTTTCCATAAATTTGCTATAGGATTTATTCTCTCCAGCAGAGGGCAGTGGAATGGTAGGTGTATGTATATGAGACAGAATTTTAATTTAATTTGGAGAGAAAATTCAAATATTCAGTAAAAAAAGTTGAAATGAGATAGGCAATAAGCAAAAGAGATCATCTTCATTCCCCTTCAGGCTTAATGTGATTTTGCTTTGGCTTTATTCCAAGAAATACAGAGGAGACCTCTTGATTAACAATGGTATGACATTATGAAAAATATTCTAGTGCTTAAGGATTAATAAAACGTGAATTTCTGAACGAGAAAAAAAAGTGTTCTGAATTCCCTAATTACAAAAAGTCTCATTTAAAGTATTTGAGAAACATTTTTTTCTCTGAGGAAAAGATGAGTATTTCTGTCAAAAGTATAGACCCCTTTGAGATATCCACAACACTACTGGTTTTAATAAAAAAATATGCAGACACATAAAGGGCCCAAGTCTTTAACTATTTATTGTGAGATAAGGTGCTGTTTCAGATTTCTGACCTTTGCAAAGCTGAAAATGCTCCCAAAATGTCAAGACTGTGGCAGATTGGAAATGGCATGGCTTGAGCCTGCAATTGCCTGGTTAGGAATAAGTAAGACTCAAAGCTTTTATTGATGGCTATGAACCACCTTTTCCCCTTGCATTTTCATTTGTAGTATCTGCTCCAAGGGTTGGATGCTCAGCATCTGAACCTTAGCAGCTTTGGTGGCATGTGGCAAGAGCTAAATAAAAATGATTTTTACTGTGTATGCTGAACTTCTTTTCTGTTGGAGCTTCCCTTAGAAATCTGGTAAATGAAATTGTTCCTTCTTATGGCTACCTTAATTTAAAGCAAAAGAACAGCAGAATTTTCAGTTCAATTGACAGCAGGATTCAAGTAAAGTAGTGCCACAACTAATAGCAGTTTTTGACAAGAATGCATGAAAAGAAAATAAATGTAGTTGCCTGAATCTTCATTTTCTAGTCTCTTTTTGCAGGTGCCTGATTTAATGCCCATTTTTTTTTCTATAAGTGTAGAGTCTGCTTTTCTTAACCTATTTTTATTGACTAAATTTTATCTTGGCAGTTTGAACAGTAAAATTCTGTAAATAATACAGTTATCCTGAAACAAAAGAAACTGAAGAAGGAAGAGAGGTAATAAAAAATGAGAATTTTCAATCTGAAGTGAAAAGAAATATTGGCATGATATTGAGCTGCCTGTTTTTTCCCTTAAGTCATTATTTTGCAGAATAGCTACATTCCACATCCTCATGAGTCGAACCAGTTGCTAGGTCAGGGTGATACACAGTGTTGGTCTATCCCTAAAGTTGAATGACTTTGCAGAATAATTGCTGAATATCCCAAAGTTTGCCTTCTAAATATGCTATGATGTCATCTCATATCTTCTTTCATTTACCCTCATGATACTGTTTTTTGTGGGTTTACATGGTTGTCTTTTGCATTTTAAAACATCATCTGAAGGCATTTTACATTTAAAAAATATTTTCTAACTTTTTTCTATTCCATTTGCATTTGTGTGAAAGACATTGATGGCAATAAATAATTGGAGTTAGGAGAAAGATAGTGAGTTCTAGATATGAATATAAAATATAAATTGCTGTGTGTATGTTAGGTTCTGAGCTAAACTCCTGAAAAACACTTCAGGTTTGAGATATTACTGGCAAGCAAAGAATCAAGTTTTCAATTCCAGTTATTTACTTTATGTAAACATCCTGGTTGCAAATGAACCACGAAAATGTTGGATGAAATCATGTCCTTCATCTAAACCTACAATGAACCTACAAGCCAAAAGAAGTATGTTCTTTACAGCTACATCTCAAAACTCCTGATGAGCTTCCAGCCTGTTTGGGTTTGCATGCCTTACAGTTTCAGCCATCCATAAGCATTGCCCTTTGATGTATATCAGTACTTTCTACTAAAGTAGCTCTGGAGCAATAGCTCGAGCCTCCTATTAAATAAATAAATCTGCTCTTAACTTCCAGAATTATAAATAACATGAGGAATGTCAAGGCAACCTTGGGGGTTAGCCAAGTCTTGGAACAGCTGCTATGACCTTGCATATCAGCATCTCAGCTTTTATTAGTGATTAGTTTGTGCACAACATGGAATTTCTTGGATTTTACATTAATTTAATTTTTTTTTTTTTTGCTACATATTAGGAGAATTTTAGGAAATAGCAAATATTTACAGGCTGCACAGGACTTCCTAGGAGGTTTGCTTGGTAGGTCTCTAACTCTTTGTTATTCATAATAGAGAAATGTCACCAATTTGCCCTGGTACAAAGTAATCACTGTGGCTGTACTGTAAGATTCTGTGAGCTAAAGCCACTGTCCTTACTATAAAATTTTATCCTCTGTGACCAACCACACAGGATGCAGGACCAGAAGAGAAGCTTTGCTTATATAGAGAGCTGTGAATAGTAGAAGTTTTGTAGCAACAAATTCTCTTCCCACTGCAGAAAGACATTAAAGTGTTCTTTAATTAATGTCTAATTTTAAACTTGCAATTAGTCAGAGTGAGAACAATAGACATACCTATGTTAATTTCCTTAATGTGTCAAAGCTGTACTGATTTCAACAGATGTATAATCAAGATTCTACAGTTCAGTAGCTGCTGGATAAAAGCTAAAGTATGTGCTCAATGAAAGGCTGAATTGAACTTTTCTTTTACAGTTCACTAAGGTTTTATGAACACCTCTTATTAGGTATGTAGTAACTTATTTTGCCACTAGACTTTTCTAAAAACTGAAGCATCACCCAGATGCTTCTCCCAGTATCTCCACTGGGCTCAATTATTCCAAGCAGTAGAAAGCACACTGCCTTAGTTTTATAGTTCTTGAGGCTTTTCTGAACAAGAGCATAAAATTTTGAGGCTAGAATATCTGTAGTATTTAAAAAACCCACTGATAAGTATATAATTTTGTCTCTGATTTTTAACATTATTTATCTAATTTCCATCACTTCTATACTATATAAAGTTTTTTGCCTGCTGTGTCCACTTTATGGTTACAACAGAGGTACTTTTGCTGGGAATAAATATGTAGATGCTACATAAGGACTAGGAACACTGTCCAGTCAGCAAATTCTATGTGCCAACAGCAATATGGATTCAAGGTGACATCCAGAGAAATTCAAGAAGATATTCAAGAGAATGGTTTGATTTCTATGTCAAAACTCTCTCTTGTGAAGAGGATCTTTTTTTTTCTCCATTTACTTTCGATATCAATACTTCCCATACATTCAGTCTAGACTTCTGCTTGTACCGTATTTGACAAGTCACAAAATTTACAATCTGAGTCAAAAGTTCAGATTTCCAAATACTAAGAAGGATACTTAAATAATTAACCCATGCATGCCAAGAATTTATGAGCACACAGAAACCTATTTTTTGATAAACTTCCCTCTTATGACTGCTGAAGGACTCATTAAAGAAAGAAAAACCATAATTAAACATGGCCGACATGCCTATAACATGGTAGATCCTAAAGCAGGATCTATAAAATAAATATCAATAGACTGTTCTTTAGAGATGCGTCACCCTTTGAAAACGTAGCCATGCAATGATTCTGCTGTTGTTTCCTGGGAGTGCAGGGATGATATTTTCCAAAATATTCCTTGACACTTTGTGCTTAAGTTAAAGATTTGCTCATGTTTTGAATTATACACATGGGGCTTAGCTTTACCTTTGGTTTTTCTGATTGTCATAGGTCTGAAACAATGGACAGGAAAATGCTTCTTATATTCTTTTCAATATATGATGCTTTCATCTTAGCTCAGATAGAACAAGAGGAAATCCGTTAACTCTTAATTTTATGCAAATACACTGAAGTTTAAGTTGTAGGAGACTTCATTACAGTGCACAGTTTTCTAGTACTTTTGTAGCATTTTCTCTTCTCAGACTCTGCCTGAAGGTGAATTTGTGTACAATCCATTCAGCTATACATGGAAGTATCACAGTGCAAAAGTCATGTTACCTTCAGTGAGGGAATTTTTCCTTTGATTTTCTTTCTGTCACTCCTTCCCCTATCCCTTATTTCTTCAACACACATGTTCAGGGAGTAGTTTGAAATGCAATATTTAATGAGAAATATGCTTTCAGCTGTGCAAAAGGGGATGTTCACATCACTGTGGGCAAGCAACCAAAATATGATGTATTTTCTTTGAGTATTTGTACTAGTAAAACTGAAATGAACAAATGTTCACCTAAAGGTATGCTCAAAAAATGCATTACTATGAATGAAGTAAATGTACTTAACATTCCAGGCTGTTGCCCAAAGACTATGTAACCCTCTCTTAGTCTGCACTTGGCTTCCAGCAACAGTACTTCTCAAGGAAGATGCCAAGATAGACATAAGACTGAGTGGCAAATATTTTTACAGGTTGTCCTAAGGTCCTGGCCTCATTCAAATCCAGATGCCTGAGTTTTACTCCTGCAGAAAACAATATTCCTAAAGACACTTGCTTGAACACCTCTCTGGGACTGGGATACAACTGGGGCATACACAAAGATCTGAGACCTTCTCAGCAGTGCAGCCCAGGCTACATTCACTAAATTCAGGCTTCCAAATACTTCTCAGTATACTTGGCCTCCCAATGCTGTGAAAGTCTTTCCTAGTCCCCAATAAGGCATGCATTGCTTTTTATTGTAGGTGGTTGTTCAGGTGTAAGTAAGGAAAGAGTGAGATTTGATCAGATCAAAAATATTGCATTTTGGGCTACTATTACACATATTTGTGTGAGATGGTTATGTCAGGCAGCGTGAATGAATAAATATTCATTTAATCTAGCTACTTTTTTTAACTGTATGTTTGGATATTGCCAGCTAGCTCAGCTACATGGAGTGGCCCATGCAAAGACAAAAAATGACAAAGAGGAAAAAAGAAAAGCAGGCCAGCAAATGTTTCTTTACTACATGGCTTTTCTCTGGTAAGATGAAAAGCTGCATTTCAGCCACTGCTTTTTGCGTGAAAGCACAAACAGGGTGCAGAGGTTCAGTGCCAGCACATCGACAAATGGAGCAAAACACGTGGAACAGTAGGTGTCAAGCCCCAGAAGAGCAATTAATCATGTGTGCTGTTGCTGCACACTCTGGAGAGGTGATGAGGTTCATTCTTTTTCAGCTGGGCACTTTCAAGAGCACAGCTAATTCAGCATGAGCACAGCAGCTGGACATGAAGCCACATTAGTGCAGCATTGTGGCCCACTGGAGTAATTGAACAGTAAACTAGGTTATTTGCCCACCTACTTTTCCTGCATATTAAATGGGAGATAATGAGCAATTGCTTGTGGTCTGTTTGGAAAAAAATGACTGTTTGTTCAGCACTTTGAAATCATAAATCAATATATGCTGCAAATGCAATATGCCACCTAACAGCCTCATTCAACAGAGAGCTGCGCTGGAGAGGGAAAAAGCTGCCCCTCCCTGACTCTCACATACTGCCTTCTGCAGAAAATGGTGATGGGAGTGATCCCTTCATCTTAATTTGAGAACAAATATGTCCAAGGGGGCTTAATCACCACCTTGGCCTAAATGACAAAGCCTAAGTGAGGCAAGAGGAAGATAGAGATTGTGGCTGCCTGTATCACTTTGACTTCCATCAGCATGACTCTTCAGTTAGCAATCAGGTGGCCTAAGAATTTCTTTTGGCACTCCTAAAGCATTTCCAGGCACATCAAGCTGATTTTTTCAGTCAAGGCTCTAAAAAGAAAGGATATCTTTATGGAACTAAATCTGAGGGTTTCTTCCAATGCTGGCTTTTGGACTCCTGATACAGGCTGAGGACTCCTGGTGAGATAAATTTCTCTAGCTCATGTTGATGAACCAAATAAGCTGGTGCATTCCCTGAAAAGGCTTACATAAGCTTCCAGGGCTCCCTGACTCAGTGGTTTTCTTGAGATTTTTCACAGGCACAGCATTTCTGACCTCTTTTCAACACCACACTGCTCCCTGTTTCTAGTGGTCTCCTTTTTCTGCACTCCAGGGATCTTCCGAGGGATCCTCTGGAAACAGGATTGCAGCTGCAAAGAAAAGAACTGAATTAGGTTCCTTGAATTCACAGCATTCCAGAACTATCTAACTGTTCATACCACTGTACAATATTCTGTCAAATAACTGGCAAATCCTAATGACTTCATGCACCAGTATGTTTTTTTACTATAGACACAAAAAGCTGTAGTCGGATTTTCATTTTCAAGATTAACTCTGCCCTTCTGTTTTCTGCCTATGCCATAACTATAACACTCCAACTCAAGGAGTTAAACCAGTCTTTATAGTGAATCTAGAGCATATACTGATCTGTGTGATTTTATAAATATAATTATGATCTATGGGGTTTTTTTCTCTTCAGCTTGCAATAATGTACGGGCATGGAGACACGGTGGCTGAGATAGAAATTCACTTACATTCAGTCCATCACACCTTGTCCAAAATACATGAATGACTGTTGCAATACTGCAGTTATTCATAACAGAGACAGAAAGAGGGAGAAAAAGAGTGTGATTTTTAAAACTTGTAACTCAAAAAATTCCTTGTGAGTTTATTATATTAACTTGATATTTTTTACTGTGTGACCTACACTAAGCAATCCTCACAGCAAAATGGAAGGAATAAGGAGAGACTGGTTATTCAGGAACAGCTGCTTGTTTTCAGCAGCATCAGTTGAGAGTTTTTCACATTCTCCTTCTCCGCCTCTCCCCAAATGTTCAGCCTGCTGTGTGCAAGCTGGGTGTTTACAGTTCAGGACTATGGAGGAGGAGGAAATATTTTGCCTATTGTTCAGTGACGTCAATGGCTTCGCTCCCAGTCACTTGAGGGACGCTGGTGCTCAGCAAATGTCAGTGCACTGCTGCTACTGCATGTGCCTCACAGTCTGCTTGCAGGGATTTAAGGTCTCTCCTTCAAGATAGATCCAGCTGGCAGACGAGGCGGGTGTGAAAGGCAAGGAGCAGTAGCCATGGAAAGCTGCTCTGCTGCTTTTTGCATGCGAAAACCTCCATACTAGTTTCTCGTTGAGGCATTAATATGGCATCTTTATTAGCATTAAATACAGAATTCAGCTTAAAAATGTATTTTATTCTGCACCAAGGTCTTTCTTTTCACATTCTTTTCCTCTGTATTAAGAAGAATTTTCAAACCTTGTTGTATATTAAAGACCTAAAAATCCCCCACAGAATACACTGACAATTTTAAAATTAATCAGGATAAATAATTAGTTAACTCGAAAGCTCAATTCAGTGTTTTCCTGCAGCATTCTTACAACTATTTTGTTGCCAGATATTGAAAACTGAATGGAAAATGTATTTTGCTGAAGATTTTTTAAGCTCTGGGCTGAATTTTTTTTTTTTTAATGCGTGTTTTTTGAAAGCATGCTACAGTTGATGTTCCTAACTGCAACTGGAAAGCCATTCTTCAATCACTTTATTTTCATTAAAACATATTCGAAATAATTTTTTTTAAAACTTTGTTGCTAATATTTGAGATTTAAAAATTTATATCTGCATCCTTTGTACATATGTGCAGGAAAATGGGGTTTTAGAAAACGCAGAAATTTTTCCTTGGTGTCAGTGTTTTTCTGTTAAGTTTTTGTAGCTGATATCGGACAGCTTGGTTTTGAAGAAATAATTAATTATATTTATGAACAGAGATGTGATTATGGACCAGAAGATCAGCTTACTAATTATCTTGATGTAAGACCCTGGATTTATTTCACATTAATATAATAATCACCATGAAAATGTCAAGTATTTTGAGGGTTCATCAAAGCTTATAGTATCGCGTAGCACTGTACTGATACCTTAAGATAAAGGGAGAACATAAATAGATACTGCCATTTTGCAGGAAAAAATGGAAAAGCTAAAAGAAAACATCAGTGAACAAGGAGTCTAGCATCAGGGTTACAGTGGAAAATAAAAGGGTGAGACAAACTATTGTCAGTGCCTTTCAGGTCTTGACTTAGCCAGGGATCATCATCCATTGCTGACAAGTGTATACAGTCACAAAAAAGATTTAATAGGTAGCCTGGCTTTCTGTGCTGAGAAATAACTTTCGATGTTTTGAGATAAAATGTACTTAAATCTGCACACTTTAGATTTTAAGTTGCTCATATACATAAACCATTCACTGATTAACAGACAAAGTCCTTACTCCATAATTATTCCACACAGTAGATGACCGAGGAATGTATGAATGGCTTTTTTTAAATACACATTAAATTATAGGAGCAATTTTTTTTCTGGAAAAAAGACATATACCTGCTTTATTTGTTTGCTTGCAAAACCTTAATCATCACTCTTTAGATTTTCCCAGATCCCAGGTGGGGTTTTTTTTGATTCATTTTTATATACTGTGATTTTAAAGCAGCAAGGATGTGCAGAATGTGACCCTATAGAAAACTGTTTTGCTTCTATTTCGTCAAACCACCCAGATCAGAACCCTTCTTCAAGAGAAGGATAATCAAAAAATCAATTATGGCTTTTTTTTTTTTCCTGATATACTGTGCTGGGTTTGGTCAAAATGATAAATACCTGGCAAGATTTCAAAGTATTCTAAAAAATATGTTTTAAATCCGTGTTGAATGTTGGCTTCAACATCCAAATATAGAGAAAGGAAAGCCTATTATAGTCTCACTGCTTTTATTCCAATCACTCTATAATCTTTCAAAATGAAAACAACTGTTAAAGGCAGATTTGTTACCACCACCTCTCTTTCAAAGAGAAAGATACTGAATTCAGTCTGTAGATTATTCCTGGTGAAGAATGTTTGGTATGGCTTCTGCAAAGTATTGCCAATATATCTGTGAATCCTTCATCAGTTTTCATACCAAAGGCAATAAATATTGAATTCTGCTTTATCTGTTAATTTCAGAATGCCCTTCCACTCCACTTAAGAAGCCTTTTTTATAATATTAACTCAAAACAAATAATTATTTTATAGAGAAAAGGCACACCTTTCTTATTTTCTATGTAGTCATTTTACCTCATGGATAGAAATAGGGGAATAAAATGTCTTCTGAATTTGGATCACAAATGAATTACTGTTACCACACTCCCCCAGTAATGCTTTCCTGACTTTTCAAGAAGTTTCAGGAGCAGATTAGTATCACATAATATGAAGGAATATAAAGATTATAAGACATAATATACTGCAGAAAATGTAGTACTTTGTTTTCTTGAAAGATTTTTGCATAGGTGCAAATATATATTAAAAATCAAATTAATGTAAGATGATGTATCAAACTAACATAAAATACTCTTGTGAAAATATAGTTATAATTATCTTATCTTTACAGACAAAGACTATAAGTCTCAAAAGACCAATCCCCAAACTATAGTTTGTACTTAGAAATCTTTTCATAACAGACATGTTCAAAGATACATCCAAAATTATTTGTATAAATAAGAGATGAATGTTGAAATACTCTTCACTCAGCTTTGTTTTCTAGTGCCCCATTAACCTGTAAACAAACATATTTTTGCCTTTCAAATTCTAGAGGAGTTTCAAAATCTAGAGGATTTAGAAATCAGGCTTACATTTTCTCTATTTGTCTTATAGGGCTTTTCCTAACACCATCAAATAGCTGTTTGCCAGCTTTCAGCTGTAACAGGAGGGAGATCTGTCATCACCCATAGGAAAACAATGAATTGTGTCTAGCCAGAAAATAAAGTGAGCACTTTCTTCACATAATAAACTAGCTCTTGACAGAGCTAGTTTCTCAAATAGACAATACAGAAGTAAGAATATGTAATGAATTCTGTTGTTATAACATTCTCCTGTATACCAGGTATAAGAGTTTTGGAAGCAAAACCTACTGCAAGTTTTCTGGGGAAAAAAAAAAATAGTAAGTGATTACATCACTTTCTGCTTCAGTGGGTATGGGTAGGGACAGAAATTAAGAGGGAATTTCTTTTTCTCCCTTCTTCACTCCCTCTCTCCGCCTCCTTCAACTCCTTCCCTTTCCATCTGCCTTCCCTCCCCTTCCAGCAAGACAGATGTCTAAATCTGTTCTTCTTTGTACTGTGTCTCCTTAAACTCCTGCAAAACAGTTAAAAAAATCTTCTTTAAATTAGTGTATAATGGCTAGGTACATCAGTTGTTAGTATGATATCCATATTGTTAGAAAAATAATTTTGGAGTACATGAAAAGTATGAGATGTGAAAATTTCATCTGCAGACAACACAAATAATTTACATGGTTGTTTTATTTCCTGTGCTTGTAGTCTATGTTTTGGAGAAAATCTGAGCTTGTGAATTGATATTCTTTACAGTATTCTATCCACCTCTTGACCTTTTCTAGTGGCTTGGGCTTTACACTTCAGACTCCTTGAGAACTGCTTCAGGGTAGTTGTTTCTGAGAAGATTTTTTTCTGAGCTTCACTATACTACACATAGTGATGGCTCACAAGCCAGACTTGCCAAGAATGCAGAGGACCATTCTAAAGTGGGCATTTCTCTCACTTGGGCTCAGAGTGAAGACAAGCTTTGCTTTTTAGGCGTAAATCATATTTTTACACAACATTTTTTTCAGTAAGAGAGCAGTCACTAAGGAATAAGTAACTAGCTGTTTTCATGAAAATCAAACTGAAATGAAATGAAAACATAGTGAACCTCTTCAAATAAAGGAGGAAAGTACAGTCCTTGTGGTGAGCAATAATGTCACTATTTAACACCATATATGATTCCTAAATAAACATTATCATAGGATATTAACATTAAATATATTTATAATAATGTCTCAGATCTTCTGGGAGTCCCATATATTTTGCAGACTATTTCTCAGTCACAACTGCAATGCAGTGGGTGGAACATTACAGCTTTCTGCATCCAAAAAAGTACACAGAATCTTTCAGGAGCGTGCTGTGTGCAAGAAGGATAAAAAACCAAGCTAGCAATCAAATCAGAAATTTGCAAGGAAATACAGATGGGGAGGGAAGAATTTATTTTTTTTTTAATTTCTAAACAATAAGATGCTGTTTCGTTTCTCCTCTGCAAGATTACATGTCAGCATGACATGCAAGTCTCA